TGAATTCGTAGGAGCTTCTATCGCCCAAAAATCATGGTCCTTAAAATAATAAGATTGAATCCATGCAATCCAAAGGGATCCCTCCCCTGCAAGAAGTCGCCTAATGAGGAGCAGCATGCAAGATTTATTTCATGACTTGATGTCCTTGAGAACAAGTCCACCTTCCGTTTTTGGTTTACAAATTCTGTCCCAACTAACTCTAGCTTCCACAGCAGGAATATTAGAACCTTTCCAGAAGTATCTCGAACAAATATGTTCAATTTTATTGATCACAGATTGAGGCAGAATAAACTGCCTACACCAGTAATTAGCCACACTAAAAAGGAAAATTTATATCAGCTCCAATTTGCCGGCATAACTCAACTTCAACCTGGACCATTGATGAATTTTGAGTTTGATCTTGTCGATGAGAGGCTGACAATCTTTAACAGTAAGTTTCCTCATGACCAGAGGAATCCCCAGATATCTGACTGAAAGAGATCCAAGCTTAAAACCAGAAGACTTAATTACGGTGTCAAGAGACTGAGCAGAAATTCCAGCAGTAAAAATTTTGTATTTAGCAACACTGAGTTTGAGACCTGAAATTTCATAGAAATAGTCGAGAACAGAGGTTACTACCATGACAGATTCCATATTACCTTTGATGAATATTAGCAAATCATCAGCAAAAGTTAAATGTGTAAGGCAAGTTCTCTTGCATTTATGGTGGAAGTTAAAGATCCCTTTAGCAGCAACATTATTTAATAATTTAGAGAGGATGTTCATCACCATGACAAACAAGATAGGGGAGAGAAGGTCTCATTGTCTAAGACCCTTTTCAACCTTAAAGTACCCTATTAAGCTACCATTGAAATCAATGGAGTAAGTAACAGCAGAGTAGTAAACCTCAATCCACTGCATGAAATAATTTAGAAAACGAAGGGCCTTGAGAATGGAAGGGATAAAGTTCCAGTGAATAGAATCAAATGCTTTATGCAAGTCAATTTTGAGGGCACACCTAGGTGAAGTAGATTTCCTCCCATAACCTTTCACAATTTCTTGGGCTAAAAGGGTATTATCGATGATACTTCTTCCTTTGACAAACGCATACTGGTTTGAGGAAATGATATTTGGCAACAAGAGGGTTATTCTTTTAACAATAATCTTGGTAATGGTCTTACATATGACGGAGCAGCAGGAAATAGGTCGAAAGTCTGAAACTTTGCTGAGATTAAGAATCTTAGGGATCAAGATAAGAGTTCTTTAAGAAGACTTATGGAGCAGTCTTTGACATTAGGGTCATAGGAGCTAATGAGTCTTTTGAAGAAATTAACAAATTCTGAGGACATGTCATCAAATGTCTCAAGCCTTCTTCCTTGATCATCAACAATCACTCTAATGGTGTCTTTTTTCCTCTTAGTTGCAATTACTGAGTGAAAACATCTGGTACATTTATCTCCATCTTTAAGCCAGTGGATTTTAGTTTTTTGCTTAAAGAACATTTCCTTCGCTTCCTCTAAGGAATTGAGTTCATTTTGCAAATCCAGATCCTTATCAATAAGCTCAACACCATTAAGAGTGAGAATTAGCTATTTTTTAATTTCTTCTCTCTTTAGTCTAACCCGAGAAGAAATGTCACTATAATAGTCATTGTTGAGGGTTTTTAGACAAGCTTTAAGTCGTTTGAGCTTAAGAAATAGTTTCTTCATAGGGTTTCATTGGATAGGCACAGACCAAGAGTGGTTGACAATACTAAGGAAATTGTGATGAAGAGTCCAACAATTAAAGAATTTAAAAGGCTTTGGTCGGTTAGTTGGAACCTCTTTGTGAAGAAACACCAAAGCCATATAGTGGTCAGAGGGACCAGGAGCCAAAAATTCCACAAAATAGTAGGTAAAAGATTATGACCATGTTAGATTAATGAGAACTCTGTCGAGTTTGCGAGCAAGATAGTTTTCCTTTTACTTGTTACTCTAAGTGAATGAAGGACCAAAGAATGGATGTTCTTGGAGTTGGAGGTCTTGAATAACATCTTGGAATTCCAACATATCAAGGGAGGTGGTCATACCAAGATGTTCATGAGCAGAAGTTTCTTGAGGGTGAAGAATAACATTGAAATCTCCTCCCAAAATCCATGGGAGGTTACAGAAAGAGGAATAGATATTTCGAAGGTCTTGCCACAAATTTCTTCTTGAAATTCCATCATTGTGGCCATAGATTGCAGAAACCAAGAAAGGGTTGTTATTGAAGTAACTTTTGACAGTAATGATTTGGTCAGAGACATGGCATAAAGAAATATTTAGATCTTTCCTCCACAATAGCCAAATTCTATCATTCATAGCAAAGTTATAATTGGTATAATTATTCCTATTTTCAAAGGTGAAGACTAAAATAGTAGTAGAATTTTCCAGCTTGACATCGGTTTCCAACAAACAAAGAATGTCCACTTTATTAAGGTTAGTTAGGACCTTGCCTTGTTTAAGAGGATTGTTCAATCCTCTTACGTTCTAGAATGATATAATCATTGGACAAGAGGTGAAGGAGATTGTTCCCCTACTAAGCTTCCAGCAGTACTTTTAGACTTTTCAAGACTGGTTTTCTTTTTTGTTTTGAGCTCTTTGATCAAGACAGCAACTCCAGAAGCTGATTTCCTGGGATGTTTAACTTGGAAGTCAGGACATGGTTGAGTCTCTTCAATCGAAGTAAGAATTTCAAACTTATTACTGGAGACCGCTAGAGCTTTGTTGGGTTTTATTTTTGGAGGTCTACCTCTGCCTTTTTTGGTGGGAGAAGAGGCAGTAGTTTGCGAGATGTCAACAAGACTTTGAAGAGCTGGAGATAAATGAGCATTAGCATTTTTAAGAGCTGGGACAAATTCTGTGCTGGGAGAAGAGTGGAGAGAAGTTTCTTGAGAAAGAGGAGCATCCAAAGAAGCAGAGTTAATTTTCGAGGAGTGAAGATCAGATGCTGCTTTAATACTAGCAGGAATTTCCTTTAAAGGACATTTCACTGAGCAGATGACAACAAAAATAGGGTTTTCCTTTTCAACTGAGTTTTCTATTATAAGAGTATGAGAAGAAGAAAGAACTTCATTTTTCCTCCAAACTTGGGTAGTTTGAGGGACTAAAGGAAAGCCTTACAAGTTTTAGCACTATGACCAAATGTGTTGCATGATTTATAACAGGGAGGAGACCAGGGAACTTCAACAAATATTGAAGTTGTTTGTCCATTGTTCAGGATAACATCAATGTGTTTAGGAATCACATCTGAGGCCCTAATTTCAACACAGACCTTGGCAAATTCTAAACGAGACTTTGAAGCTGTAATTGAGTCCATAGAGAGTGGGAAACCTATGGCACTAGCGATGTAGCTTATGCCTTTACTAGAGAACAATTCAAGAGGCACGCTATACAAATGAACCCATAAAGGAATCCTAGATAAGTCAAATTGCAATTTCTTCATATTAGGTTCCCACTTCCTAAATATTAAGGGCTTGTTAAATAGATGCCAAGGGCCATTTTCCAGAACCCATTCACGAACAGATTCAGAATCAAAAGTAAACAGGTAGAGATTTGGTCCAGCGTAACTGACCTGAACTTTGGATCCTTGCAAGGGCTTTCTCCATAAGCTGTCGATGATTTTATGGAGAGAAGAAAAGCTTGGAGTTGCCCTGAGTACTTGCCCAACAAGAAAGATCCTCCATTCAGCAGTACCTTCTTCGAAGACTTCAGGCGGTGAGTGAACAGTTGAAATCCCATCTTTTTCGTTTGGGGGAAAATAACGCAATTGTTGATCGACAGAATAGGAGAATAATTTGCGCCAATCCATCTAAGACCGAAGGAGAATGGAATACTTGAAGATTGACAGTGAAAATCAGAAGAAATCTGTGAATAATAGGAACGATCGACGGTGACCCGAGTGGGTTTTCAGATTCCATTAGATCCGCTAATGTGCGCCCAGAGAAACCCAAAAGCATGCGCCATGGGATTTTTATTTTAATCACTGCTTTTTTTTTTCAAGTCTTTTTTATGTATAATTGAATATTGTTTTTCTATTCAGTTTCTTTTTCTTACTTTTCTATTTGTTATCCGTTCTTCACTGGTTCATCCTTCTTGCTCATCATTATCTTCTTCTTCATCTAGCTTAGCAGTTAAGTAAGTTTCAGACAGTAACTGATACATGTATGGACGGGTTCAAAATTTCGTGTCATGCGATTCTTTTGAAGAAATCTTGAGGGAATAATTTCTTTGAATGCCCATCTTCTCCTTTAATTTCTTCAATTGCAGTTTGCAAATTGTTTGTTGGCGACTGCATATTAATATGACAGTCATTTGGCTTGGCTGGACTGCATATATATATATATATGAACAACGCTGGAAAAATCAATTCAATAAGACTAACATCCAATCAACATAAGGTTTATTGTAAAATCATTGAATAAAATAAACCATTTGCAAATATTGATTTATATGTGTAAATTTCAAGAAAAAGAAAAGTTTTACATTCAAATTTCATGACCAGAGGAGACTACACAGTCAACTTTTTATAGTTTGTATCGGATCAATCCGTGTTCGTGATCTAAACTATGCTACTTATAGTATACCTAATTAAGCGTGTATTTTTCTTTTGACCCAAATATACCTAATTAAGCATATACTTAACAAACTTTTTTACATTAATACGGAAAGGTCGATTTTGGCCATTGATACAATACTTTATTACCAAAATGGGTATTTGAGCTAGGTAGCTGAGCTGCAGCAATTGAAAATCTTCTGCAAGTACAAAAGGAAAAGCTGGAAGTAGAAGGGTTAAATTAGAATCGTTTTTTTACTTTTTATATGATGGATGAGCTGAAGAATGTGTTCAGTTTTGATTGAAAAGCTGATGTAAGTGAAATTCGAAAATATAAATCGAAGATGAGGAGTTTTATGTCATTTTCGTTGCACCTAATGCAAAAACAGAGATGTAAAATTAAAATTTATATTTATTTATCTCGAGTCTTTCAACCTCTTTTTAATCACATTTCCTCGCGGCTACCTCTCTCGCTCGATTCTCATTCCTGAAATCACTCTCACGAAGGTGTTTCTCTTCGCTCTCTGTTTGATTTCCGAGAAAATACTTTCGTTTTTCCTTTGTAAACAAACGAATTTTGGATTTGAGATTTGTTTTCTTATTCTTCCTCTTTTGATAAGGACTGTCTACTCTTTTAGATCTGTATTTAATTATTTAATTCTGTTTTCTGATTCTCTCATGATTCTGTTTTTTTTTTACTTGTTTTGCTCTTTGAAGGTAACCGGTATCTGAAGAATCAGAAAAATGGTTTCCTTTGAAATGAACGATCGAAAAAGTGAGCTTTTATGTTCTTTTTTTGTGCTTTCTTTGTTTCTTTCAATTCAATGAACGCATCTTTGAATCTGTGGTTTTTGTGAAACTTCTGTTGGTTTGTTACTTGAAATATGAATCGATGTGAAATCCATAGCAATTTTAGTGAAACACAAATCTATGAAATTGGTTCTTCTTTTACTCTTGCGAAATTTATTCATTATTACGCATGTCAGTAAAATTTTAGAATTCATTCTGAGTTAGGAAAGTCTTTCAAATTTTCTTGTTATTTTACATTGAGATAGTTTGGGAATGCTTTGATGAACTAATTTATTTAAGCCGTTTAAATATGTTTGACAAAGTCAGTCGAATATATTTCCTTACAAAGAAAACTTTATTATTATATTATTTGATAGTAAAAAAGGCTAATATTAACACTTAGCAGTACATTAGTGGGATCTTACGTAACCAAATCCTAACCCATCGTTGGCAAGGATGTTCTCAATGCCCAACGGCATATTGACTTAATCGAAAAAACTAGGCATATTATTGAGCTCAAGTTTGGCCATGATCAATTTCAACATCCCAATACCTATTACAAATGTTTTTAATCTTCCTTATCAATGACATTCCACTGTCTGCAGCATGATCATCTTTTATAGAAAACTTTTATTATTGTTTATTAATCTATAATCCAAACAAATAGTTCAATAAATTATTAGGAGCTGTTTGGTAAGTTATGCTGCTTTATTAAGAAACAGATATCAGCTGGTAATTCTAATAAATTGATGCTAGCCAAACTTCAAGAAATTTTGCAAGTGGATCTCCGTTGATCACATTTGATGTGGTTACATTATGTAGGATTTTTAATTGATTTGTACCAGTCTTCTCGTTCTTCAAAGTTCAAATAGATAGGGAATTCAACAAGCTGTAGTTCCAATTATTAACTTCTTTTATGTATTAATTTATTCTTGACAAAGCATGTGCACCATGCTTGCTTGGAGTTGCTCATGATGGTATTGTTTAAAATGCACAAAATTACAAACCCTCTTACATGTATGTCTTGTATAGAAATACTAATTGAAATGGTTTGGGGTTATGAAATTTTCATAGGAGTATTGCAAAATGTCTTACTATATGTAAATAATTTAATAGATTATTTGGTGATAAGACTTTTACCACACCCTAGCTATATGTGATATAGACTATTTTGTTAACTCTTATTTTTGCTAGAGTCTAATCCTTTTGGTTTCAAACTGAACCTATCTGAACAAATTATTTGTTCTGTTATGTGGATTGTTGTGAGTGAAGATGTTTGGAGGTAAGTGGGGTGCTTTCGTACCCTCTATCATTTGGTTGACATGGACTTGGCTAGTGGAGACATATGGCTTAGTTTGTCATTAATATTTTGAGGAAAAAAGCTATTTTTTTGTTCACTTTTATTTGTTAACTTTTATATTTACTAATATTTGAAATTATGAAAAACAGAAATTGGGCTGGGATTAACGGGATTTGGCATATTTTTCTCATTTCTGGGAATTATCTTCTTTTTTGACAAGGGCTTGCTTGCCATGGGAAATGTAAGCTTAACTTTTATTATCTTTTTGCACTATTTTATTTTCCACATTGAATCATACTGGATTAATTCTTTATTTATTTTTCTGTTAATCAGGTCCTTTTCATATCAGGAGTGTCCTTAACCATTGGTCTGAAGTCCACCATGCAATTTTTCATGAAACCTCAAAATTTTAAGGTTTTATTTATTCTCTCTCATACATAAACACTCTCATACATAAACGTATCTTTCATTTTTAATGATGTATTGATGCTGAATTCAGGGAACAATTTCTTTTGGTGTTGGCTTCTTTTTTGTTGTCATTGGATGGCCTATCATTGGCATGATATTAGAGACTTATGGATTCGTCGTACTCTTCAGGTCTATATGAAATTTTTATTATCTTGATTCAACACAGATGCCATCTTTTTAGCTTATTGTTTAACATCCTCCTTTTTTTTCAGTGGTTTTTGGCCGACTCTGGCAGTGTTTCTGCAGAGGATACCCTTTCTTGGTTGGGTGTTCCAGCAACCATATGTCAGATCGGTATGTTCAGTTTCAAATTCAAGTAGATTTTCTTTTTAAATCAGGAACTGTCTGTAGGGCATGGATGCTTGCAATCTATTATTTTGTTTGTTCTTGGTTGGTTGGTGTAAAAGTTTAAAAGCATCCTGGAACAGTTCCAAAAACTGATAATTGATATCTTTTGTAGTCTCAAGAGTATGAAAGAAGGCTACATGGACTATCTTCACACACACACACACACATATATATATGGGTACCTTATTTAAACAGCCTTTCATCAAGTTATGAAGGTTATAGTTATCTATTTCTTTTCTTCCCCCCTCCCTCCCTGAAATCAACTGAAAATTATGTCAGAGAAAAAAAAATATGTTTGAATAATGATATGAAACCTGCTGCTTGGCTTAGTGGCTAATAGGAGTTTACTCCTCAATTTAGGTGGAGGGTTTGAGTCACAAGGTTTGCAACGTGGTGTGTGAGAGAGTTTTGTGTACATATATATGAAGTTAGGATCATGATTTAAGATCTATTCATTGTTAAGTATGAATAACGTAGATTAATAATGTTTCATTGTTTTTTATGGTGATTTTGTAATAATCTTTTATGATATTAAATTTGGAGTTATGGTAAGTTTTGAAACAATAAGGAAATGAAGAAATTTCTTGATTCTTAATTTAATCTTCATATTGATGGGAGGAAAAAGAGTGGGAAAAATTCTTGAAGCACAACCATAGATTAAAATTAACCTTGACATTCAAATTGTGCGAATTCCGAACGATCTGATCTTGATCTGAAGAGTAAACTGAACATCACTTCAGACATATGTATAGATGATGTTTTTTTAGTTTGTGGAACTGATTGATGGTCCTTTTTAAGAGGAAATTATTGAACTAATGTTAGTCCTTTTTTCCTTAATGGTGCAGTTGTTGGACCGATATCGGGGCAGGAGGGTGCCTGTATGATGTCCTCCCCAAAAGTGGAAATAGTGATAGGCTAATCGACTTTTGTAAGTCCTCTTCACTGAGTGTGTTGAATTGAATGGAGTTCTTATGAACTAAATAGGCGCAAGTGGAATGAATGGATGGAAAGAATGATGCGAATTTTATATATCGAAAGAAAAGTTTATGCTAAGTGGTGAAACATGTTATGTACTACCCATGCCAAATATGATGAAAATCGATTTTTTTAATTCTTGAAAATTTATGTTTGTTTGTTTGTTTATGAATTCTTTTATTTTTCATTTAAATATTACTGAACTGATGATTCAATTGTTTGAATCCATTAAATCTAGAATCAGTAATCTGATTATTTTCATCACTGATTTGATTCTTATAATATTGGTTTTTTATTATTATTTTTCATTTGATTTCTGTTTCAAAATTACCCTTTTTTCTTATTCAAATGGATGTTGTACATAAATAAATAAAAGAATAAATGGTATGCGCTACAACTTTTTTTTAATTTTCTTGTATTACGATTTTAATAGAGGTAGAGAACTATGTAATTTAACTTTGGTAAAAAAATTAAGAGTAATGTACACATATGGTCCCTTAACTATAAGATATTGTTTTGTTGAGTTCTTTAACTATTAAAAGTTACAAAATGATCATCTGATCGTAGGGAGTTGCTTTTGTGAGTCTCTTGACTATTAAAGGTTACAAAATGGTTTCCTGATTATAAGGAATTGTTTTGTTGAGTCTTTTGATTATTAAAAGTTACAAAATGGTAACCCAATTATTCATTATATTCCAAACTTGTATTTTTCCGTTAAAATTCTAATGGTAGTATGAGTTGGACGTTCATGATGATTGAGATATGATAGTAGTTTAAGATTTTAAGATCAAATTTTATCATATCTTTGTCAGTAGGTTAACGTCCAGCTCAATCTGTCGTTAATTTTTTAACGAAAAATGTCGAGTTTAAAACATAGTGAATAGTCGGGTGACCATCTTGTAACTTTTAATAGTTGAGGGATTCAACAAAACAACTCTTTATAGTTGGGGGTCATTTTATAACTTTTAATAGTTGGGAGATTCAACAAAATAATATCACATAGTCAAAGGACCATTTGTATAATTTACTCAAGAATTAAATGAAGGTGAAATAAAAGTAATTAAAAGGTCGTGTAAAATTGAGAAGAAAAAGATTAAGCTAAATAGATATTATATGTGCAAATGGACTTGAGATAAATTGAATAAATAATGGACTACATTATAAAATAGTCAAATCAAAATGAGTATGTTTTGAAATTTAATTTCAGTTTTTTTTAATTGGAAAAATATGAACTCAATTCGAACTTCAAAATTGATTTAATTTACTTGACTCCAAAAAAAAAAAATCGAGTTTTAATCATCCTTATTTTAAGTACCATAATCTATCTTCTTTTCTTTTTAAATTATTGAAGAATTAATAAATTTTTTATTGTTTAATTAATCATTTATATGTGTATCATGTATATTTATTCCATGAAAAAAGTGCAAATATAAATATAAAATAGAGTCGAATGTGGCATAATTTTAAATTATATATAATAAATGTATTAAAAATGTTATGTGGCATTATTTTTATCACAAATAATATTTCTTAAATGAGCCTGGTCCATTCGATTTAAATTTCAGAACTTAAATGTTGGCCGAATTGCATTTTGCTGTTCCTTTCAATCACGCACCTCCATTGCACTGCCTGGCCAATTAATATCCAAACTTGATTCAAACTCAAGCATTTTAAAAATAAAAATTCTTCATTCATTAGTATAATTTAAATTAATTGGAACTGAAACATAAAATTTAAAGGGAATAGTGGAATTGAGAAATGTAGTGTCAAGGCAAGACAAGGCTAGCCCAATTAATAAAGCTCATTGATTGAGGCTGTCGACCAACAGAATGATTTTATTTTAATTTGTATTTTATCCAGTCATTTTCCAATGTGCTAAAAAGATTAATTTGATGTGTATCACTCATTAATTGCAACCTTTATGATACCAAGAGGATAACATCAAATATTACTTTCAACGATTTTTTTTTCATTATTAAAAACTCTAAAGGCCTCATTAAATGTTCCACGACTTTGTTGCTCCCTCACAACCACGTCTATTTTGTGCAGATGTGAAGGGAGGAACCATAATTGGTTTATATTTGTATATAAAATAGTTAGTTAATTTACGCAATAAATAAAGCACAAAATGTGAGGGTTAGATTATCAGAGTTTGTAAAATTAAAACACGTATAAAGTAAATTTGAAACAAGATGTGTAACCTTTGGAGTAAATATTAAACACAACGAATTTCATTTTCATAAAGCCTTGATGTAGTGCTCGACTTGTAACAAATTCTGCCTTTTATTTAATATTTTAAAATACGTGTGAAAGGTGCCACCACAACTTTGTTGCAGTCTAACAATGTCATCGATGATGATATCATTTATATATTCAACCCTTTAGTGAGCTAGAAAGCAGGTCTTCTGATTTTCTCAGATCTCAGTGTAGAAGAAGAAGGATGTATTATGCAAGTGTTGTTGCGTATCACATATTCTTCAATCCAACCAAGTACCTCTATTTTCTTCTTCTACTTGGCTTTTCTTTGCTTTACATTTTCATGTTTCCAACAGATATGAAAGAATGTGCAGCTCTGGTTTCAGCTGGAAACAACAGTTTGTGGGATTCCTTACATCCTCCACCTTCCCCTCATTCCTACTTCAATCTCTCTTATCACTTCATCTAATTACCTTCTTACATCTATACGCTGTTGCAACATTTCTGGGTCACTTAATTACGTCGAGATATGTAAATTAGAAATTTATAAATTCCGTTTCATCCTCTATTTTACAATCAATATTTAAGTTGTAAGTTGACTGTTGAATAATATTGTCTCCAATAACATTTCAGATATTCCATCCCTTTTCCCTTTTTATGTATGATGTTAGCAGTGTCTTTGAATTTCTGGTTTTATTTTGGCATAATGTCCAAAATAGCCCCCAACGTTTCACTTTGGGGCAAAAAGCTCTATCTATAGATGAAAATTATTAGATAACACGCAATTAATGCTTCAGAATATGAGTATTTTTTAACCTAAAATGAAACGTTGAGGCCTAAAATACCCCAAGAAAAAAAAAGAATAAGTGACAAAGTGATTATCCTGTCAAATGTTAGGGACCTTTTTGCTCTAAAATAAAACGTTGGAAGCCAAAATGCCTAAAAAACAGAATAGAGAGTAAAATAACCATTTTGTAAATGTTGAGGACTAATTTTGACACTATACCTTTTAATTTTGGGTAAATCTTCTTTATCGTTCAAATCCATCCTCTTTAATGTTAACTTTATGGAGCCTGATAATATTATCGTTGGAAGTAAAAGATTGATGAAGGAGATTTTGTTGATACTAACAATAACCGGAAAGAATGTAAATGGTAGCAACGATCACAGGGTTAGAGTAAGCAGATGGTTATAGTGATATGATTGCTGCATCTTACATAGTGATCAAGGAGATTGACTATTTGGATTTTCTAAGGGTCTGTCTTATTAGTCCAGTTATGGGCAATTCATAATGCGCTTGGAGACTGCTTTACCATAAGATTAAAGTGGAATCTGTGATATAACAGGAGCAGTTCATTTATAATATAGTTCAATAATTACATTTTATATGCTTTCTTAATTTTTGCACTGTTTAATTCTATCGGTGTATTTTTGTTTTAAATTGATGCAGATTACTTTAAAATGCATAATTAATGTTTTTATATATTTTTAAATAAAATAATTAATATCTGCTGTTTTAGGAATTAGTATCATAAAAACTAGGTTATAACTTCTGCAGTAGTCAAATCTAAGCCCAAATCTACGCAGCAAGGGAGAGCCCAATCAATAAATGGCAGAAAGAGCTTTCGCATATTAAGTATTTTCTAAAGTTTGAAAATATTATCTTTTTTATTTAAAAAAGATAAACTATGAAGTTGATGAATATTTTTTCTTCCAATAATTACGAGGAAGGAGTAAGAGTCGAGTTTTGTATATATATATATATATTATTTTTTAACAGTCTATAGTGATTAAAAGATAATGTATATTTAAAATCTTTTTTTAATTATCGGCAACGCACGCACACATTACAAACGTAATTGTTTGAACTCAAAACCTCAAAGGATAACAACAAATGAATGGGTGTCCCTTTTTCCCATATATATGGAGTAAAGGGGAGGTAAGATAGTAGGCTACCCCCAACATCAGGTTGAGAGTAGCTTCCATAAGAGACCTCCGAATTATGAAATGCCCTCCGAGAGACCTCAAAGGATAACAACACTACCTCTAATTACTTAGACTACTTAATTAGTTTGGACATATATAATATTAACATCAGTTGCATCTTATTGTTAATTCTAAAGCAAAATGAACATTTTGGGTTAATACAAGTAATCATGCATGCCCAATCAAAGACAGCAGCATTAAACAAACAAAACTTCATTAGTAAAGATTAGCTGCTAGGTTGCTTTCATTTAAGCCACCCATCTATTTGTTTATGGGGAAAAAGCCACTGAGCAGGGGACCACCTTTTTGTCATGTTCATTTCTTACAATCACAATTCACAAAAAAAATAAAAAGCCTTATTTGATAAATTATTGAAAATTGACAGTTACAATGATTTGATGTTTTAAGCTTGTTTGATCCATTATTTATTGGATTTCTTCAATGAAAATGTGTGGAAAATGAATCTAATTATTCTTTGCAATTCATTAAAAAATTGGCAGGTAAAATGAATGTTGAAGCTTCAAAAATTAAGCTATGGTTGTGTTCATTTTGTTTTTAAATTCAATTTACGACTAAAATTTTATTTGGTCGGTCATGTTTTTTCTTCTGTTGATGATAAACACAAGAGGTCCTAGCAATTAGCCTCTGCTGTCTTAATCTAACCTAACACAATTGTTTTATTACATGTTCTAATATGTTTAATTACATTTTATGATGGAACAAACAATGGATGATAAGCAGAATGGGTCCTAGCCAATGGTATGTCGATGTCTTAATCTAACCTAACCCAAAATATTATTTATGGATTAAAACAAAATGATTAATGTCACGTTAGTTTAAAATAACTCGCTTGACCTTATTATTTAGAAACGAAGTTA